GTGAGCCGAGATCGCACCACTGCACTCCAGCCTGGGTGACAGAGTGAGACTCCGTGTCAAAAAAAAAAAAGAAGATTGACTAAGGGGCTTTTGGACATTATGTAGACAGACACCCCTGACACCTTCTCTTACTAAATAAGTAAATAAAATTCTGTTTCATCAGACATAGCCACATATGTGTAAAGCACCTACCCCACCTGTTTTTATGCTGTGAAGTAAGACATACCCAAGACTGGGTAATTTATAAGGGAAAAAGGTTTAATTGACTCACAGTTCCACATGACTGGGGAGGCCTTACAATCACGGCGGAGGGCGAAGGGGAAGCAAGACACGTCTTACATGGTGGCAGAAAAGGCAAGAGCATGTGTAGGGGAACTCCTCTTTATCAAACCATCAGAACTTGAGAGACTTACTCACTATCATGAGAACAGCATGGGAAACACCCACCCCCTTGATTCAGTGACCTTCCAGCAGGTTCCTCCCATGACACGTGGGAATTATGGGAGCTATAATTCAAGACGAGATTTGGGTGCGGGGGAACACAGCCAAGCCATATCACCACCTCTGTCACCCCTGAGAAGTGCTCAGAAAATGTTAGCTGTCTCCCTCCTCCTTTCCTTCTCAGCCTGACCAAACCTCTGCATCATTCAAGCTGGGAACACCTTGCCTTCCAGAGACCTTTCCCATTCCTCAGTGTCCATTCTCTGCAGGGCTCTGCGTAAATACGCCCTGTGCTGACCCCTTATACGCAACCTCCAGGGAGGTTAGATGGCCAGAGCTGCTTTCAGGGTTTGTTTGCCAAAGGCAGTTTATTCTTTTTTCAAATAGTTAGAATTTACTTCACATTTGAATCCAACTTGTGTTTTTATACAGCCAGCATGTCCTGAGCATTCTGTCATGGAAAAGAATTTGCTCATCCAAGAATAAACAATGCCTAGCTAGTATCCCTCTTGAGACAGGTAGAGGCGTTTATGAAGTGTGCCTTGTTACTAGCCTGTGCCCCACAAATAAACTTTCTGCTGTGAGAAAGGGTGTGGCACCTGCTTTTTTGGAGGTTTAGTTTCACAGAACCATACAGTCCTTGTCTGGTTTTGCCAGCAGTGCCTGCTTAGAACGCACAGAGGGGCCCTGGACACTGTGGTCAGAGGCTGTCCTCAGACTCCATCTCCATTGCAGACCAAGCTCTTTACCACATCCCCTTGCAGGATTCCCAGATGTCCCTAGGAGGCCCAGGAGTATGTATCTCCAAGTAGACTCTTATCTCCA